GTCCCTGCTGACTCAACATCTGGATTGAAAACTTGTACCACCTTCATCAGTCTCTAGTCATCCCTGGAAGGGTATACTGGATACTGTTATGTGGAGTGAGTGGAAGAGGGGTTTGTTCTGTCTTTTGTTGTTGTTGTTGTTGTTGTTGTTGTTGTTACTGAGTCCGATGCCAAACCCTGATACACGTGTAGGTTTCTGGGCACTGAAATACATGGACACACTTTGAATCTGAAATTCTTTCCATGATTTAGAATGCACACGGGTAAATTGATTTTTTTTTTTTCTTTTGGGTAAAAAGTATGTACTTTATTTTTTTTAACAGAGATTTATTGTAGTAGCCTTGTGATTAGCTTCTTGGGAGCCATTTAAAACTGATTAATATTTAGATGAAAAAAGAAAACACTCCTTTATGACTTTAGCATTTTTATTTTTACTGTAACTTTTAACTTCAGGTGGATAAATTTTGAGGTTAATTAGAGTCAGGATTTGCCTGGGATCAAATCTTCATATTAGTTGTGATCTGGCAATTTTTAAAATGTCCCTGTGCTTTAATTTCTTCAATTTATATGCATCTATACATACACACATGCAATAGTAGGTATGTGTTACATGTATGCATATATGTTATTTTAAAGAATTTGATGCAAGGTCTCACGTAGCCCAATCTGGCCTGAAATTCACTGTGTAACTGAAAGTGACGTTGAATTTTGTGATTCTCTTGCTTTCATGTCTGGGGTGCTGGAGTTGCAGGTGTGCCACTTCACCTGGTTTTATACTTGCTGGGGATGAAGTCCAGGGTTCCTTGTATGCCAGGCAACTAGTCCACCAACTGCGTTATATCCCCAGCCCCTCTTCATTGTTAAAGTGCACATAATAGTGATTAAGTTAAAATTGACCACGGGCATGAGCTCATTTATAACTCACAGTCACCACATAACCTGGATGAGCAAGTGAAGGCATGTGATGATTACACAGCCAATCAGTAGCGAAGTTGAAATTTGAACTTAGGTATTATAATTCCAGAGTCTATGGATTGATTTTAGCATTGTATATACTACTACTTCACCATTTTCTGTTTTTCTAAGTCATAAATGAAGTAGTATGTAGACTGGTACCTGCTTAGTACAATTTTGTCTTTCAAGAGTTTTTTAGATTTTGGAATTGTGATAACATAATTTGTGCTGCCAAAGCTTTTTTTCTTTTTGACTTTAGAATTGTGAATAAGGTTTTATGGATGTAGAGACTAATTTAGGAAGAATTATAACTATATAATTTCCCTGGTTCCGAAGTCTCAACAGTTCTGGCAGCTTGTTAGAAATAAAAGAATCATAGACCATACCTCAGATATGCTGGGTCAAAGTGAATTTCTGACTGTGCAGTTCCAATACTGAAAAGTTTGAAAAGTAGTGTAGTAAATGACCATAAAGATTTCTTCCAACTTGCAGTTGTGATTCTTGGATAAACTAACTTGGACATTTCAATCTTGATTTGCATATTTAACAATGAAAATTGGAATATGTTAAGGATTATTTTAATGTAAACAAACTGTAGATTTAGTTATATTTTTGCATCAATTTTAGGTCAAATCTATGTAGATTTAGTTATATTTTTGCATCAATTTTAGGTCAAATCTTTATGTAATTGTGAGAACTTGTGAAAATTTTTGACATAGTATAGCATTATCCTAAAATGCTATCATCATTTATCATTTTAGGCAATAATTCGATTTCAAAAATTTTAACTGGTGTCAGATCAAATATTTAATAATGCCCTTTTTAAGATTATGCACTGTCCTGATGCTTCAATAAAGAATTTTTAATTTGGAAATAACAGCTGTAAGAATTTAATACTAAAGCAAATGAGCACTTGATTTCCTTGATTAGAAATTAGAAATGTTTAATTCTTAGTTTCTAGAATTTAAAATTGTTTCCTGGGGCTGTGAATATAGCAATTCTGGTACAGCACGTGCCTAGAATGTGTGAAGCTCAAGCTCAGAGGGGTAGATCTTCAGCACTGCAGAGTGTGAAAAAAAATAAAAACAGAATAAAACAAATCAGAAAACCGAAATAGAAAATTTCTCTTAAGTAAGCAAAGCATTATTTTGTAGACTTTTTCTAGTGTGAAAGTAGTATCTTATTAACTTACTGTTAAATTGCTATAATCTAGCACATTATAGTTATTCACAAATTTTGTTTGAATGAAGAGGACCCCCCCCTCCCCCGATGATTCTGCTCTCCTTCAAATGAGAAATAAGAGACTTGGAAGAATCTGAAAACTTGTGGGCATGGTTGTGTACACCTGCCTGTAATCCCAGCACTCAATAGGCTGAAGCAGGAGAATTTGAACCAACCTGTGTTACTTAGCAAGTTTTGAAGCTAGTCTGGGGTACATAGCCAGATTCTCTCTCAAAAGAATCAGAAAACTTGCTATTTTAGATAAATTAAGGCATTGATAATGAATTGCTTTGTTAATTAACTTTAGGTCGTATCAACTAATTGTGATTACATCTTTGAAATTTTCTTTTTTAAAAACCAGATATTGGATGCTGGGTGTAGTGGCTCATGCATTTAATCCCAGCACTCCAGGAGGTGAAGGCAGGTGGATCTCTGTGAGATTGAGGCCAGCCTGCTCTAAAATAGTGAGTTCCAGGTGAGCTGTGACTAGGGAGGCCCTGTATATAAAAAAAAAAAAAAACACAAAAACCCACAGAGTTAAAAAAAAATCTTTTTATTTAATTATTTGTGTGTGTGTGTGTGTGTGTGTGTGTGTGTGCGCGCGCGCGTGCATGTTAGCATATATGTGGTCAGAGGACAACATGTTGGAGTCTGTTTTCTCCTTCCCCTGAGTGGGCTCTGGGATGAAACTCAGGTCCTCCTCAGACTTGATGGATGGAGTCTTTACCCATGAGACATCTTTCTGACCTCTTGAAATTTTCTTTAATTTTGAAAGATAATTCAAGCATATGATGAAATTAAAATTTTACACAATGAAACCAAACAACAATATTTGAGAAGGCTTTATTGACAAACTCCTTTATCCCCTGAGATAGTCTCTTTACTGTTTTATTTTTAAGGCTTCTGAATATATCATTAATCATCAAGTTGTTTAGTTTTCAAATTTATTAACAATCTGTATAGAAAAGGGACAATACTGCTAATGTTAGATCACATGTCACTGGAGAAGACAGGTTGAGTAAAGTATCTGGACCATGTCTGGTTTCACCGCTCAGGAGAGTTTGCAAGAACTCTTTTGGAGGAAGGTTGATGGACAAAATTTTGGGTAGATCTTGGGTAAGTAGTATCTGTTTCTTGTAGTTGGAGATTTGCCAGTTTGGAGTGAGGTACAGTATGTCAAGCAGAAGTATTGTCAGAGAGATGGGGCTGCTCTGTGCTTTGTTTTAAATTACTGTCCTACTTTCAGCTCTTAGGAGGAAGTCAAAGGTAACCACTTCGGTGAGTGAAATAGTAATGCCAGCTGGTTCAGGGAAAACAGCATGCAGTCAGAACAAAAATTTAATTAATAGGCTCTCTGTGCTTTGGTTAAATGATATCAGTTGCCATAGTAAAGAAAAAAGGATAATAAAAATACAAATGAAAAACAAATAGTGCCATTCTTGGAAGGGGAGAAAAGAAAAACAAAAACCCTCTAACAAAGAACACAGAAGAAGACGTGAACAAATGTTACTTTATTTTGGGAAGACGCCATATAATAAATAAATTCTTGCAAAATGAGTTGTGTCCATGATTTCTGTTCATGTGTTATTTCCTCATTCAGAACTGCTTAGATTAGTCGTCTGCAGTTGCTTTACTTTTCCCTGTAGGAGTTATCCCTGTGGGATACAACTATCTTAAATCCTTTTTGTGGTTTTTCTGCCTTCCAGAATGTTGCTGTGGAGTTAATGTGAACATACATGCTTGTGTTTCTCTTCTGACTAGAATCTGACATTGACAAGGACATGTTTTGCTACTTATTTTTATCAGCATTTTGAATTGTGCTTAGTACATAGGAAGCAAGGACTGGTGAATGAATAAATAAAACTCTCCTATTCTTTCATAATCCATAACACTTATTGTCTGTTCTGTAGTCTTCTGTCATTAATTTTGTGTAGTGTAACATCTTGTAATGCCTTCTGTTTTAGTTCAGTGTCTAATTGTTTCACTCTTAGAAGACCTTCTTCTCTGTGCTCCTTGATAGCAGGAATGGGACAAATGCTTGCTTTGTACACGTCACAGTGCACAGCAGTGGATGCAGAAACTTGCTGAATTGAAGACTTTTATTCATTATGTCTTAAATTGCTAAAATCCAGTTTGCCCTTAACAAAAGGAGTATTTTTACTGAATAAAACAGGCTAAACAGTTTTATTTGTTTTTAAGAATGGAGGCCTTGGAAATACTTTATTAAAATTTTGGCTAATTTTAATAGACATTATAACTTTGCAAGTATACTTTCATAAGGTACTGATTAGTATTTGATGAAATAAAACATAATTTTCAGTGAAATTGATTCCTTACATTGAAATTTTAATGTAAAAGTGTTTTCTTATATTGTAATTCTTAGGATTTAGCTTTAAAATAAGTAGTAAAAGTAGTATTCTCAGTAAGTATAACTTTGTGAATTAGTCCTATTCAGCCTTTTCTACATGCTTTGGAAAATACAAATTTGCAGTTGTTTTAAAATTTATTTCTCATGCCAGTTTTTCATTCCATAATTTCAATGTAATGATCTCTTATTGTACCTTTGTGTTATGACTTTTTTCTTAATATTTGCTGATCTGTACATCATTTATACATTGTTTCTTGGGGATTTTCAAGTATAATGTTTCCAACAATAAATATTTTAGTGCATACTGAATAAATGTATAAAAGAAGAAATTTGAAATCATTAATGCTTAAAAGAAGAAATTAAAAATATGTAGGTTTTGTTTTTTTCTAATTTACATAAAGAATTATTTTGGTTTTTATTTACTTCTTTTTCTTTTTTTTTCTTTTGCTTTATTTCAGGCCAGTCTGTCCATATGGGGATGGGGAAGCCTTGGCACTGTCCTTTTTCTAATAACCTTTGGACCCTTTGTAATATTTTATTTGGCATTTTATATCCTCTGCTTTGTGGGTGGGTAAGTATGCTCGATGATAATTTTATAATTTATGACTTATATTTAAAATGGAAACAAAATGACTGTGAGAACTGGGAGTATGATTTATTTGTGAATGCTATTTTCACAAATGCTATTTTCACAAATTGTATTTACCAAAGTTAAAAAAATAAAACTAAGATACCCATTTATATGTATTGGTCATCTTCAAAAATAAAATTTTAGTCACTGAAGATAAAAAAATGTCTGTGAAAATAATGAAAAATTTTAAGATTAAAAAAATTATTTTGATGTTATTCCTCCCTTGAATTTAATTTTTTTATCCATGATGATGCTAAGACCAGTTGAGATAACACATCAAATTTTACATTACAAGAGATGCTTTTTCATTGATTGGCCTTTAATGTTTCCCTTAATGAGTGTTGCTACTTTGTTCTAGCTAATTCAGATAAATGCTTGATTTTGTAATTTCCTTTCTTGTTACTTGTTTTAGAATATTTATGATTTTTCTTAAATTGATAAACCTTTACAAAAGAGACTATAGACATACTTTACTATAGCTTTTGTATACAAAACAGTTGGTATTAGACATTAGGTTGAAAGAAAATATAAGAAAACTGGTAAGTAAAATGCCTGTTAGACACTAACCAATATAGCTTAGTTGAAGTGAGTATTTTGTTGTTGATGTGTGTATAGAGTCCATTTTTATGCCATTAATCGTATAATGCACATTTACCAGTTCTCTTTAAAAATATCTTTGAGACCTGTAAACATTTGGAGGGACTTTGAGCTTAGAGTTTGAGGTGATTTAGCTGAATTGAGTAGTACATAGAAATAGTGCTATGAGACTGCTTTAAATACTGAAGGGTGGCCTCTCAGTGCATCTGCTCCCTGTCACCTCTTTCAGGATACAGTTTGAAAGTCATATATGATTCTCTAAGGAACACATTCAGTGATTATTGAACAACTAAATGTTACTTAACTAGGGTTGTTATGTCAAAGACTCCACAAAACTAAGTTTTTGTTAGATACAATCTTGCCTTAGTAATAGTCTAGATATGATTATTTTGTACTAAAATAATTAAACGTGTTTGAGCCACAGGAATCAGATAACATTGAGTTCAGAAAGAATATCTTTATTTATAATAAAAAATGTTTGTACAGAATGTCTGAAACCAAATGTACAGATCCCAAACCTGAAGATACCTAGTTAAACTCCAAGAATTGCAGTTTTCCTGCAACCTCAAGACTGCTGTCACTGACTAGAAAGATTTTTCTTGAGTTGTTTCTGTGGAAGGTAGCGATCCTACTAATTTCACAAGTAGAATAAGCATTTTGTCCAAATGAAGCAAAAGTATTTTGCTTTGGAAAGAGGAGATTGTAGCTTTAGAGACATAGGTGAGAGTTCTTGGATGGTGGGGATGGTGAGAATCATTTCTTAACAATTAATTACATAAAAAATTTGAGAAATAGAGAAAGGTCATCAATCTGTTCATTTATGAGTTATCAGAAATCTTCTTGACCCCTTTCTGAATCTTCTAATTTATTAAGGAATAATTTCCAGAAATCTTAAGAATATTTAGAATTCTCTAAAAGTTTTATATAACATTGGACTATTGGAAAGTGTGTAAAGACTATTGAAGGCCTATTGGAAGGTTAGAAAAAGCACCTCAGGTAGTGGTTAGAGTATGTAAATGGGGCCTGAAATTCGAAGATTATGCTACATCATGAAGTGGTATGATTCTGTACTAGACTGGATATCAGTGGAGCTCACTGCCATGATAAGGACAGTTCTAGAAAATGACTTGAGGAGACCCAGCCAGAGAGGATTATCTCATTGAACATTCTTGGTTTTCTCAGTCAACCAGTCTTCTAAGTCTTTCTTACTTTGGCTTTAATTATGATGAATGGTTGTTCTTTATTTAATTTAACTTTGTAGTTTTCAAAATATTGTAAATTTAAGCAACAAAAATAAACTTCATGACGTCAAATGATGACCTTTCCTAAATTCAAAATCATTTTTTAGTTTTGGTCTTTTATTAAGTTTTTAAAGATGTGTTTGTGTTAGTTTCATTACTTAGTAAAGTGTATATTTGAAAGGAATATATTTTCCTCTGGACAGCACCCCCCACTTTTGTTAAAAGAGCTTAAATTTTAAAATGTTCTGTAGTTTGCCTAATCTAAAATGATGCTGATGCATTTTTACAGTTAAAACAGCCCTTTGCTTACAAATACTAAAAACACTTTCAGAAAATAAGATGCACAGGTTTTTTATGTGTGGAGTATACTGTCAGTGCATTATTGTTACTTCACGACATTATTGGGTGGTTTATGTAAGAATTTGTCACCACAACTTTTACTCCAGCATCATAATTGAAACTATTAACTAAGTCCTTTGTGATTTCAACTGTTCTTTAAGCTTAATTCCTTACTATTGCATCATAAATAAAGGTTAATATTTTATCAGTCATGATTTGTAAAAGTACAAGTGTAATTTATTGTATTTATAAGTATTCTTAATAATCAGATAAAACTGAAATACAGGGCCAACTTGAATCTTAGTACTATCAGATATACCACAGGTGAAATTTGTTGTTAATTCTGAAGCCAGTCCCTAACAAACAAATAAAAGCTGAGTTAATTCAGGAGCTGACTTGACTCCCCTTTGCTTGCCGCTCATCCTACACCTTTTATATGCCTTGTACTGGAAGATTAGTGAAAGGGCAGCTGGGGACAAACAGGGACTCTCATCATTCCCTTCTGTCACTCCTGTTTTTGTAAACTTCCTGTGAGGGTTTCACTTGTATGAATCATAAGATTAAAATTTTATTTTCTTCTTTTGTGGACATCCAAATCTTTGGTTCATTGGTCAATTTAAAATATAGGAAATAATGTTAACATTTTGTAAATACCTACAGTGATGTAGCTCTAAACAAGTAGTACTGCACCTTGGTCCTTTATTTTAAAAGGAGTCTTTTAGGGCTACATTTATAGTTCTTTTACTAATTCTAGCTTTATTTTAAAGCAAGTCATAAATTGGGTCATTTTTCCTTTTTTGTTTTTCTGTAGTCATAGCAGCAAGATATATTAATATCAGTATCACTGTAATTAGTTAACAGAGTTATAGAATTAGATCACAACCATAGATTTTGACCTTATTGTTTATTAGCTAGGCTAATTTTATATTATTTAGGACTGATTTTTCAAAAATTTAAAAATTGACATTTTTTGAAGTGAAATATATTTGAGCAAAATATTGAAAAAGCACTATATTACTCAAAATGTTTGTAGGTGTTTTAAACTTCAGAAACTTAAAAAAAAAAAAAAAGACAAAAAATTCTCAATCTGGGTTTCTTCCAAATTCCCAGACTTAGTTTCTAAGAAATGGTAAGCCAAGATGTCTGAAAAATATACTCGATAATAAATATGTTAAATTATAAAAATACTTTGGTTTTGTATCCATAATTATTATTTTTTCCCCTAGGGGTTTAGTGGTTACTCTCTTGTTTGGGAAAACAAACTCAGAAAAATACCTAGAGCAGTGTGAACACTCTTTTCTTCCTCCAACATCTGCTGGAGTTCCTAAGGTAAGTAGTATGAAGGAGTACAGACCTTGCAGTGCAGCTCTGTGTGGTGAGGGTAATACAGTCATCTGTTGGCTGGGCAAGGCTTTCTGCACCAATGTGTGTTCCACATTTATGGGGGATTACTGGATCTTACCTAAAACATACATTTTAAACATCTTCAAAAGTTTCTTAGTGTTATATGTAAAAAGTAGGACTGAAATTTGAGGAAAAGCAGAAATCAGTTAATTTGTTTTCCTATTGTTTTAACCTCAAAGTGTCATAGATACAATTTTTAGGAATGTCAGTATTCTGTTTTGAATGAAATAAACTGAATAGGAATCAGAGGAAAATGTACTCTTATAGTTTGAAAAGCATAGCTTGCAATTAAGTTATAGAGTGTCTGTAGTTGTAATAATTCATGTCTAATTTTATCTTGTATACTGCTATTTTTCTATTTTTTTAAAGTGTTGGGTTTTATAAATGAAATAGGTCTTTGGTACTATGTACTCAGAGTTGCAGTGCTTACAATTTTTTTGTGGGATATGTTCGCTTCATTTTTATGTGAAGAGAGAAATGTTCTGGAATTGCTGGTAGTAAGATAACTTTCCAGTCCCTCACACACTAAGATGTAGATGTAGAAATAATGTAGAGTAGTATATGCTGAAATGAAAGAATTTCACTCTATTCTACAGACTTTTTATGTTGATTAAACTAATCTTTTATAATGTTTTAAACTTTTTCTTTATACTGTGTATTATAATTAATAATGCATATTGATATGCAAATTAGTGGGTTTCACTGTGACATTTCCCTATAAGGACTGTCAGGCTTTGATTATATCTTCTTAAACTTTTGCCCTCTATTTTCCTCTTCTCTCCCTCTCCCTAGTTCATTCCTTGTCCCTGATCATCCGTCGTCTTAGATTCCACATATGAGAGAAACCACATCACTTACCTTGTCTTTCTGTTTGCTTAATTTTGCTAAACACATTGTCCTCAAGGTCTGGACCTTTTTTTTCTATTTCTTTAGAACTTTCATTAATACATATTTGATTTTGCTTGTAAGACTTTCTGAGGAAATAGACTTTTTCTTTTTTAGCTCTGCAATTTCCATTCATTTGGAAGGTACATGATAGAGAGCAGGAAACATTTTAAGAACTAAGATCCTAAATAGTGAGCTGGGCTTGGTGGCATACACCTTTAATCCCAGCACTTGGGAGGCAGAGGCAGGTGGATCTCTGTGAGTTCAACGCCAGCCTGATTGGGGCTATAGGGAGACCTGTCTCAAAAAGACCTAAAAAAAAGAAAGATCCTAAATAGTCACAAATCATAGTCATGATTAGTTATGTCTTCATAATTTGTTTTTTCATAGATGATAAAAAATAGTTTTGACTTGCTGTTTGAAAAAAGTGATTTCTAAGTATGAAATGGAAAAACAATTAGTGGTTCACTGTTATACCTTAAAAAAACACACATTTTATATGTAGTGGTATGTCATTTAATAGGAGAAGCACATTGCTAGGTGATTTCATCTGTGTGATCATCAAAGAGTGCAGAAGCAAAGCTAGATGGTATAGCCTACTACACACCTAGGTATGTGGTCCAGCTTTTGTTCTAGGCAAAAAATTTGACAGTATATTTCTTTATTCAATACTGTGGCCACTGAAACACAATGGTAATAAGTATTTGTGTCTTCCAGACTTAGAAAAGAAAGAATGAGAATGTAGCCAAAAAGATAAAAGCTGGTACACTTAAGTGTGCTGCTTGTTATGAATGGATCTTAGAGACTACAGGGTGATCCCATTAAGTCAGTGTGTGAATTAGAGTGGGGAGAGAATGTGAAGGTCTAGGACATTACTCTCCAATTCATAGACTTAAAAAAAAAAACACATCTGTATATGTGTGTGTGTGTGTGTGTGTGTGCATGTGCACACGTACATGCATGACACATATGTGGAGGTCAGAGGACAACTTGTGGTAGTCACTTCTCTCCTAACATATATGTCCTAGGAATTGAACTCAGCTCATCAGATTTGGTGACACGCTCCTTTACACACTGATTCAATTTCTTACCAGCCCCAATTCATAGACTTTATACAAATACTTGTTGTAGTTTGCTTTCTGTTGCTGTGATAAAACACTGACCAAAAACAACTTGATGGAGGAAAGGATTTATGTCACCTTATATCATACAGTTTATCACAAAAGCTGAGGCAGGAGCTCAGAGCAAGAACTTGGATTCAGGAACTGAAGCACACTGCAGAGGAATGCTGCTTACTGGCTTGCTCCTGGCCTGTGCCTTTCCTGCTTTCTTAGACAACCCAGAACCTCCTCCCTTTTGGCTGGGCCCTCCCACCTCACTCATCACAGGCCAGTCTGTTAGAGGAAAGTCCCCAATTAAGGGTCCCTTTCCCAGTGTGTCAAGTTGACAACCAAAGATAATTATGACAATATTGTACACAGACTATACTAAATTTAATATTATTTAGTAATAAATTAATCTTGTTCTTGTAACTATATTTTATAAGCTTTAAATTTTTAAAAAATGTTATTGACTTTTGTTACATCCTTGAATTGAAAACACAAACACATTGTAAAAGTACACAACTTAATCTAGACTTAAGCAGGACCAGGCTCATCAAGTCCTTGTCTTCCCCTCTACATCTTGTTTCCCTAGATGTCTTCAGGGAAGTGATGCACACAGTCTCATCTTCTGTGATACTGCTGCTCCCTCTGGATCCCTCCTGCAGGGCCTGCCTGAGGCTCTTCCTGGGGAAGGGCCAGTCTTTTCAGAAGCAGTCCAAGATAGCTTGATTGTGAGCAGATAATGCACCATAAAAATTCTCTTCTCCTAGTGAAAGCATTTTAGTATTGGGGTTCATGCTTTCAGATACTTAGGGAGCTTGTTGAATCTGCAAAAACTTCTCCTAAACTTTTCACTGTGAATTGTCGAGCTTTTCTTTTTTTTTGCCACCTGTAGTTTCCTTTACTCTTGCTTCTTCATTAGGTGATAGGAAATTTTCACCTCCATTGTAATCTTGTAAGCCTATCATTGCCTGTTTGATCCATAGTTACTGAATATTAGGTAATGTATAACTGTATATATTGGTGCCGCGATTTATATTTTTAAGAGAGTCCCACTGCTTTTTTCTCCTATTCCTAGGCTTTTGAGTTCATGTCTGTGGTAAAGTAGAAAACTGCATTTTCCTTAGTTGCTTAAAATTGTCTCTAATTAATACCAACTTTAAAATGTATTCATTTAGTAGCTAGTATACTTTTGGAGGCTGGAAAGAGAGGGGAAAGCAAAGAGAGTATCTTGACTTCAGATATTTTGAAAGATGGCAATACTATAACTATACCTATACATTTAAATTTTTCCCACATTTAAAATAACATTGACTATAGAGAATAATAATCAATTTTTTGGATATCTAGTATTATCTTGAGAAATCATATTTGGCTTAAACTTATTTCAAGAAATTATTGGCTGGAAGATTAAGGGAAAGTATAATGGGTTATTAATTTGAAGTAAATTGGAGAGATTTGAAATCAAGAAACTGCTCAGCCCCATACTATGGTTTTCTTTAAGTGCTTAGAAGAAATGAAGCGGGAAGCCAGAACTATTAAGATTGATAGAAGATTGACGGGTGCCAATATAATTGATGAACCTCTCCAGCAAGTGAGTTTCAGTATGTGGTATTTGAATTACAATATTGTGTGCTAAGTTATTTCTTTTCTAAGCTGTACCTTTAACTATTTAAGGTGCTGACATTTTATGCCAATGCTGTCTTTGTCTTTTGTACTTAATAATGCTACTTAATTAAGTACCTATAATGAGGCAGCTTAATGAAAAGCCATTGATTACATCTTTAACAATGAAAAATTATTGATATTTGATGATATTTATAATAAAGTATTACCCTTGCTGATGAGGAAACTTAGGAGTTTACTAAATTAGACTTTTGTAATAGTTTTATTACTTAAAAAATACATATATCTGGTTTGATTAAAAATTTTAAAAATTAAAATTAGGGGGGCTGGAGAGATGGCTCAGAGGTTAAGAGCACTGACTGCCTTGCAGAGGACATGGGTTCGAATCCCAGCACCCACATGGTGGTTAACAACCATTTGTAACTCCAGTTCCAGGGGAATCTGGTACCTTCTTCTGACCTCTGTGGGCATTTCACAACAATGGTGCACTTACATACATGCAGGCAATACACTTACACACATAAAAATAATAAATAAAATATTTTTAAAAATTCAAATTAGATAAAAATTGAAATTTCTCTCAAATTTTTTCTGTTGATGTTTTTGATTATATCATCATTATAAATAAGCTATACTTTAACTTATAATGTTTTATAAATAAACCTGTATTTAACTTCTGTGATTATAAAAATTATACATTTGCTGTTTACAGACTAAATGAATACTTTCTGTATTAAAGGTATTAATAGAATTAAGTTAGCTCCTGTACTATGTTTTTAATTAGATTGCAATGGATCTAATGATAGAATCTAAGAAAATCTTTTATTTAAAATTAGTGTTAATTAGCATTGGTTTATATCATCCTATCAAACTGATTAGGAATATTCATTATATTACAGCATTAAAAATATATTTCCCTGACAAACTCTGTTTTTATCTGAATTCGGACAGTCATCAATAATGTTTAGTTTTTTAAAAAATTGAGGAGTGAATGAGTTGGGATATTATAAAGCTAAAATTTTTTGGATTTATTTTTTTATCATGAAATTTTTATAACGAAGATAGGTATGTATTACTGCAATTTAAAATGTATAGAAGAATATTAGTCATCAGGTAATCATCTTAGTATTTTATTTTGCACTATTTTTAAATCCTAAAAAGTTGTATTTTCCCCCAAAATTTCTGTTATAGGTTATCCAGTTTTCCTTGAGGGATTATGTCCAGTATTGGTATTATACACTAAGTGATGATGAAACATTTCTTCTTGAAATTAGGCAAACTCTTCAAAACGCACTCATTCAGTTTGCTACAAGGTAAGTGTGCTGAATTTTATTTATGCAGAAAATTTAGATTATTCCAAAGGGAAAATAACTTCCAATTGAAAGGGGATTATTAACTAAAAGGTAAGTAGAATAGTAAATTATTATCATGAGATAATGTCACATATCATTTGTGTGAACAGATGTTCTCATTTCTCTTGGGCATATACCTAGAAGTATAAATTCTGGTTTACTATTTCGAGGAAATGCAAACCTTTTCAAAGTACCTGCATAGTGTTACGTTTCCACTAACAGTGTATACTTGTTATTGTCTGTCTGTCTCTATCCACCCTAATAGGAATAAGGTGGTATTTCTTTTTGTTTTTTTGTTTTCCTTTTTGAGACAGGGTCTCCCTGTAGCCCCAGCTGTCCTGGAACTCACTAGGTGGACCAGGTTGGCCTTGAACTCATAGAGATTTGCCTGCCTCTTCCTCCAGAGTGCTGGGATTAAAGGCGTGCGCCAGCACTCCCAGCTTTCTTTTTGGTTTTGACTTGCATTTCTCTGATGTCTAACAACACTGAGCATCTTCTCATGTCATTCATTAGCCATGTATATAACAGAAGTGATACTACATGCAATGCAGCGGTTGTTATTTGGCTCTTTAGACAAAAAACTTTATTGATCCTGGAGTGAATAGCTTAGTTACCATTGAATCATTTAAGAAGCATTATTAAATAAACAGGAAATGTATCAAATGAAAATCATACAGATTAGTATATGTCTTATTTTATCTGAACGGGTTTTTTTGTAAATATGTATATATAACAGTCATTAAAAAGAAATACAAGTATTAACAGATAATTTGGATTTTCAGTTTATGTCTTAAGTAAAACTAAGTCAAGAAATTTAAAGATAATTTCATTGTAACTATTGTGAATGTATTGATTTGTAGCGATAAAAGGTAATAAAACATTAACCAGCAGTGAAGATATGTAAGATGAATTTTTATTTTTTCCTTCCCGTCCTTTTTAAAATTAAAAAAGTGTTTTTTAATTGACTTGGTCTTGTGAAGGTCTGTATGTGCAGACCCAGCCACTGTGAATTCATGTGTGCTACGGCCTTGTCATGTCCTACAAATGCTGTTTTGTTGCAGATAGCTACTTCCTCTGGCTCTTACAGTCTTTCTACTTTCTTTTCTGTGATGTTTCCTAAGCCCTGGGGAGGGCTGTGATACAGAGGTCTAATTTGGATTGCATTTAGGTTGTGTGTGTGTGTGTGTGTGTGTGTGTGTGCGCGCGTGCGTGCGTGTGCGCATGTGCGCACACGCGAACATGTATGTGCACATGCTTATGCCACAGTGCACAAGTAGAGGTCACAGGACAGCTCACTGGATTCAGTTCTCTCCTTCCACCATATGGTTCCAGGGATTGAACTCATGCCGCCATTCTTGACAGCAGGTACCCACTGAGCCATCTCACTGGCTGAGGGTCCTTTGGCTTTCTGAGACAGTGTTATTTTGACCACGTTGGCCTCAAACTCGTTGTATGACAGAGAATGACCTTGACCTCCTAATATTCTTGCACCACCATGCTTGACTACTTTAAAAACCCATTTGCTTCTTTTTTAAGAAGTGGTCTTCAGACTTTGCTTTATATGCCTTCATCTTAGTAATTTGTTCATTATATTCTGAGATCTCAGTTCTTTAGAAGACCTGATCTTTGACATCTGTGAAGAGTGGAACATAAGGTAGAACTGGACTTCTTACACAGTGTTACCATGCACCAAATGGCCATTTCTGTTAACATGGTTATATAAAACTACTTACTTGAGTCTTTTTCTCTTTTCACCCATTTACTTACAACTTTTATGGTCAAGGAAGTTTTGTGTTTTTGTTAAGGTAAGAGAGAATACTGAATTGGAAGTTAGGAGCCCTGGTTTGTTTTACAAGACCTTGGTCTGATTTCGCAGCCTAGAATATATACTATAGCTTCTTGGTCTGCTATTACAAGTATTTTTGGTAATTATTGGAAATCCTTTTCCATTTTGAAATACTAAGTAACTTTGGCTTGTTGGTACTACTCTTGATTTATCTTTTTAAAATTATGTTTCCTTTCAAAATACTCATTAATATACTCTAGCACATTCTGTATTGTTTTTATTTATTATTTTTATGTGTATGTGTGTATTGCCTGCATGTAGGTAAGTGCACCCATATCGTGCAATCCCCACAGAGAACAAGACTGTTGGATCTCCTGGAACTGGAGTTACAGACAGTTTTTAGCTGCCATGTGGGTGCTGGGATTTGAACCCGAGTCTTCTGCAAGAACCACCAGTGTTCTTAGCCACTGAGCCATCGCTCCAGCCCCACATTTTGTATGTTGAATACTATTTGGTGAGCAATTTAGTTTTTCATTTATTTACTTATTTTTTTGACACAAGGTCTCACTGTGTTGTTCTGGCAGACCTGGAATTTACTTTGTAGACCAGGCTGGCCTCAGGCTCACAGAGGTCTACCTCCTTCTGCACCTGGAGTGGTAGGATTAAAGGCTCCAAGGATCCAAGTGCAACTGATTATGATTAGTGATAATCAGATACATAACAGATTAGAGATGCATGCACCGACATCTCAGTGTTAGTAGCAAAAACAATGAGTCTTTCTGCAAGGAACAATATATTCTAAAATGAAATGGAGGTCTTTTTTAAAGGTTAAAAACTCATTCAATTTTATGTCTTACAGGGCTTATACTGAGTTCAGTATTGTATAACTATTAATTCAACTGTGAACCTAGAAACTTGCACCCACTTGTGAAAGAGATGTACTCTTGCTCTGGGGTGTGTTACTGAATATGTTAAATCTGTAGTGAAATGCTTCTTCTAATCATGTAGTTTTTTTTTAAAAAAATAATGATTAAAAAATAATTCTTCAAAGCATAAAAATTTGCTCCTTAATAATTAATAGATGTAAAAAACATTACCATTGAAATCTACCTGATGACTTTATATCGGAGCTCAGAAAGTAACCGACTGTGACTAGTAATAAAGATTAGAAACATGTGCAAACATCTTAATTTCAACTGCATTAAAAATGAATTTTTCTGTAAAAAGTAATAAAATATTTTTTAAAATGTGTGTGTGTGTCTGTGTCTGTATCTGTCTGTCTGTCTGTCTGTCTGTCTTCCTCATAAGTCTTTCTCTCTGGAGACTTTTTCAGTTCTAAATTAACTGAGATTCTGGGTTAGTGATAGGCTCAACAGGTAAAGACTTTTACCCCACAAGTCTGATGACCAGAGTCCGATCCCTGAAACTCACATAAATGGATGGAGAGAGGTGACTCCCCACACAGTTGTTCTCTGTCCTACACGTGTGCGCTGTGGGGTGCTCCCTTCCCCGACTAATAATAAATCTAAAATTAAAAATTATTAAAATAGTAAGATTCTTTAGATGTTTGTCTACATATATATATGTATATACACTCATACAAAATATAATGTACAGTTATTCTTACTGATTTTCTTTGAAAAATACTTCACTGTTTCTATGAGGAAAGTAGCTTTTATTTTTGTCATGTTGTCATAAGGTACTCTTCAGGAAAGTATTTTGCTTTGAGTGTGAAGATTGCTTTTACTGCTGAACCAGCCTCTCTGTCCAGTCTTTCTGCAAGATGATAACAATGCATGCATTGCTCATTCTTGAGAGGCCTCCTTAAATTATGTCATCTCACTTAGTCTCTACTTACTTCTCTATGTGTCTCTTCAACAACATTTTAAGCTCTTTTAATAACACATTCTGTAGTATTGTAATAGGAACTTTAAAAATTATATAATTTTTTATTATTGTGTCTGTATGATGAATGAGTGAAGGCATGCATGTGTGCTCATCTGTGTTGTTCAGAGGACAACTTTGTGGAGTTCATTCTCTCCTTCCACCTTTATTGGGTTTCAGGAATCAAACTCAGGTCGTCATGTTTGTGTGACCAATTCTTTATGCTGAGCCATCTTGCTGTCTTGTGGAAACTCTCCTAACTAAACTGATATTTAGTTATACAGTATTCTCCAATCCCTTGTTGAAATAAGTAACATTAAGGTTAGGCTGATGTACTACTGTTTGTTTCTACTTCTTTTGAACATTAAGCCTAATAAAATTCATTTGTATAATTCCTGAGCCCCATCTTGAGAAAACTAATCTATATTGTGGCTCAAACGTTGGTACTTTAGAGAAGAAAGATAACCAAGTGTATTAAAGCATGTCATTGTTTCTAAGCTTGTACCTTCCAGTTCTAGCTTCTTTAGTTTTATTAACTGGTAATTTAGATTGAAGAACTATGAGTATGACAAGGCAGTTTCTATGCCAACTAAGTAACTTGTTTTGGAATATCTCAAACCTAGTTTTAGTGTACAAAATACAACTGAAATGTTTAGAGACAGTCTTAAAAGACCCTGCATTCCATTTCATTCACAAATGTACTGAGTTGTCATGCCATTTTAAAGAGATAGAAAACCATGATACTTGTAAAATCAAAGCTGTTTGTGATTTATTCAAATGGCATGTTGATCTTAATAACAGAGCCACAGTCAAAGAAAAGTTCTTATTCTTATATTAAGAGATTTGTATGTAATTTCAGTTAAAATAGTGTGTATTCATGACTCCTTTGATAAATAGATTTATCTGTTACTAATTACTAGTTTTCTGTACATTGTATTTGTTACTTCTCTTTTGTTAAGTTGGTGTAGTCCTAGGTACAGAGCTGTAAGTGTCCTTAGAGAAAACAAATCCTGGGATGTGATGTGACCCATGGAATTTCATAGGTAACAAATTGGCAGGTTGTAAATCAAGGATATCAATGCCATTCTAATACTTTTTGAAGAAAAAATTATTTTAGTGTTGTTTTGTGTTACTAGTGATGAACTGTATACTGCTTAGAATTTATGGAACATGCAAAGCGGTTCAAGCCATCAGCCCACATTTTCAACAGTCCTTGTCTTTTAAAGGCATTAGCATTAAGTAGCTTAGAGGCAAAAACAGCTTCTCTGTATATGTGCTCTTGTAGACCCTGAAGAAGAAAGAAGATGTTGGATGTGTCGTGTGGCCATTCTCCAAGCACCTGTTCACAATATTTTGGCCTTGAAAGAGAAATCAATAAATCATTATGTATTGAGGTCCATTGTTCAACACTTTATTTAGCCACTGGGGGTACAGTTGTAAATCAAACAGAGAGTAAAGTCTGTGCTTTACTGAGATTTCTTTTTCATTTAACAATGAAAATATTTAATTATAGATGGTACTATAAGAAGTGTAAAGTTTGGTGATTGATATCAGAATATGTAACTGGAGAATCTGACCTAGTCTTAGGGAATAGTACAGAGGGTAGGTAGAGGTCAGTGAAGGCTGCCATGTGGGATTATATTATAGCTCTGAAATGTCAGTTGGACTTTTCATGTGAATGTGGGAGAACAAATGTGTGGAGAGTGGGTAGAGGTGAGCAGGACAGAGGGAATAGTCGTTCAGAAGCACTTAGACACATTTGAAGAGTCCATTTGAATTTGAGAATGACAAAGAAAGCCTATGGGTCTGCAGGAACAGACAGGGAGGGAAGGGGTGAAAATAAATGATGAGGAAATCTGTAGGGTGCAGATTCACAACGTTGGAGAGGATGTATTCATGCATAGCTCTAGGAGTAAAGCTCGAGAGCTTTCAAGGCTCTTGTTTTGTATTAATCTGTATATATTTAAAAAGGTAACTGTTAGCCAGGGGTGGTGGCACATGCCTGTAGTCCCAGCACTTGTGACACAGAGGCAGGCGGATCTCTGTGAGTTCAAGGCTAGCCCGGTCTACATAGTGAGTTCCAGGACAGCTGGGGCTACAGGGAGACCCTGCTTCAAAAAGACTTTAAAAAAAAAAAAAAAAAGGTAACTATTGACTCAGGCTGTACAGAAAACTGAATTTCAGAAGGGACATGGTAGTCATGGGAGATCTAGAAATTGGATAGTAGTGAGAAGATTGTAGTATTGGAGATGGATATGAAGGCATGCAAGATTTATGTTTAAAGCAACTTGTTAAGTGGTTTTGTTTTGGTTTTGTGCTTCAGTAAAACTTTATTAACTTGTTTCATTTCTAGTTAACTCTTTTTTGAAACCATTGACAAAATACCCGAACTTCTAGGGGCCTACTGTATTTGTTTATTGTTTTTAACTTAGGGTGGAATGAACATTTATCTTTTGGCGTGACAAAAAATAAACTCTTATTTTTAAATTCAAGAAGTGATACCTTATAAGTAATAATGAAATAAAAGTGTTAGTAACAAGATTCATTGTGTAGTAACTCATATGTTTTTACTACAGTAGGTATTATGTGGGGGAATATGGTAAGCAAAGTGAAAAAAGAGCCCTGACATTGGCCATAATTTTATTTTTTATTTATTATTATTTATTTGTTTGTTTTTTGAATTTTTGTGTATTTTATACAGAATGTCTCAATCTTAATCATTGTTATACCCCTGTCCCCACTGGCACCCTCCTCTAACCCCCCCCACTGAAACCCATATACTCTGTCATCAATGTTAAGGCCCAGTGTGTCAAGTCGGTGTACCCAGATGTTCCTCAGTGCAAATCTACCCACTGAGGTCTCGTCAGCCTATCTCGAGTCTCTTGTTTTAGGAAGATCAGCTCTTCCTCACCTAGCAGTAATCAGTTGCCAGTGTTTCTTCAGCTAAGGTTGGGATCTACTGTTCATTTCCCCAGTTTTGTGCAGGGTTTTGTCTGGCTGGATTTGTATGAGTCTTTTGTATGCTGATAGCATTGCCATAGAATCATATGAGCAGGGTCCCTGGAGCTTGTAGGACTCTATTTCCATATATGGTCATGCAGTTCCTTCCTGGGTCCTACAGTCTTTCTCCCCCTTCTTACACAATGGTCCCTGGAGTACTGGGATTAAGGTGTGCACCACCATGCCCTGCAAGAAAATGTTTTTTTCCACCCTCATTATATTTCTATGTTGAAATAGAAATCTAGATTTACAAGTTTTAATCGTGTATGTGATTATTTGTATCACTTGGTGATTTTCACCATTTTAAGTGTTATATTCTGATGAATTGAGAGGGAAATGCCTTCTAAATTTGGTAAATTTTATTTTATTTAAAAACTTCAGTAAATTAAATAGCATTCCTCTGTAAAGGAAAAATTATGACTTGAAATAATATATATTAATTTTTTCGTCTACATTTGTTAGAAGGAACCTTTTATGGAATGATTTAGCTAGTGTCCCACAGTAAGTAAATTGTATCCTTAAAAAAATTTTTCCAGTGTGAAGGTTTTTGAATAAATACTCATTTAAAGATTTTTGAAAACTGCTTGCACCGATTGTGAATTAATGATTTTTGGAGACAGAATATCACTGTGTGCCCAGGCTGGCCTAGAACTCGTTGTATAGCTCAGGGTAGTCTCTAGTTTGTGGTCTTTCAGCATCTGTCTCTGAAGCTCTTTGAGGACCATGATGCCACCATGACTGGGTAGATTTTTTTTTAGTTTTTTAAGAAAGGGAGTGGGGAGATACTCTAGAGACTGCCAGGTTTAAGTGTTTACATTAGATTTAGTTATATGCTTGTTTGTGTGCTTATAATTTAAATAATATTGATCTTTTCTCAGATCCAGGAGTTCATGTGCACTGTTAGTGTTTGTTTTGTGCTCATGTGCTTACAGTTTATTCTTTCTTGTTATGTATATAAGAAGCCATGGTTATGATTTTTAAAATTAGCATGTGAAATTTTGGGGGAGAGATTGTCTCCTGTTATTTTCTCAATGTCATCGTTACTCTGTTTCCGCTCAAAAAGTGCCAGTAATTCCTAGGTGGGTTTTGAAATGACTGCTGTGTTCAAGTATGAATTTTATGGAGATTTCATTAGTATGATGCCTGTTAATAAGACCAGCGAGACTACTTGCTTGTAACCTCCAGTTCATTATGAGAATTATACATTAATTTTGTCTGTTTTACTCATCCCTTCTGTTGTTTAATCATGCTTGCTTTTTTATTGTCAAGACTAATTTATTTGCTAGAGTATGAAGCTTCTAATTGGATAGCAAAAGAATGGGCCAGTAATGAAATCAACTACTTCAAAAGCCATTTATTATATGTATGTTGTTAATTATAATAAATCATTGTGTCCTTTTTTGGTTTTCTGTTATCTGTGGTTATCTCATTGCCCAACATCTTCACAAACAGATTGCATATTTTTTTGAGTGTGTGTTAGGTATAATCCTGAAAGTGTGAATTAATTTCATCACAGTTATGTGCTATTTTATGTTTGACCAGTTACTGAATTAACAGTGTTTGAAGTTTGTTGTTTTTAAAATAGAGTACTAAATAACCGTATAAAATAGTATTCAACTATTTTGTATTCTAAAGAGTTTTTAAGTGTTATATTTTCCATCACTCTTTTAGCTCATCATTGATGTATTTCTGTTATTTAGTGGTAATAATTTTAAGTGCTAGTATATACAAAAGAGTTAGTTACACTCATACCACAGGTATATGGTTTCATAATATAGGTTGTATAACTAAAAGGAAGAATGTGGAAAATTCATGATGGGTTCAGAAGAAACAAGAAATGTGTGAAATACTGTTAAATTAAGTAAATAGAAACCTTCTGAGTCCCTCATGCATTGTATCTGAGCTGAAAAGTTACATATTACACCCGTGGGCAGACGTAACTGTGAAAGCTTTAATTTCTTTACCAGTTTTTATCATTTAAATTGTAGTTTTATGCCTTTGAACATAAAGTATTAAAATCGTATTGTTATAAGGCTAAGTGAAATAGAGGTTACACTTGGGGTCATGTGCAAATGGAAACTGATATATAAAAATAAGGAAAAAAATCTTAAGCTATGGCTCAGTGTTTAAAAGATCTTGAGATATGGCTCAGTGATTAAGAGTGCTGGCTTCTCTTGCCAAAGACCAGAATGTGGCTCCCAGCACCCTTTTCTGGTGGCTGACAATTACCTGTAACATCAGCTCCAGGGGATCTGATTCCCTTTGTTGGCCTTTGTGGGCTTCCACACTCCAGTGTACATGCCTATACACAGGACGAACATCTACATAATTAAAAATAAAGTTTAAAAACTCTCAACATGAATAAATTTCCAATTCTGATCATTGTATTTGTTAGCAGTCATTAAAGTAAATTTACATTTTTGTAAAGCATTTGCATAATGGCTTAATATTTTTTTCTATAAGGTCTAAAGAAATAGACTGGCAGCCTTATTTTACTACACGCATTATAGATGATTTTGGCACTCATCTACGGGTATTCAGAAAGGCCCAGCAGAAGATAACCGAGAAAGATGATCAAGTTAAAGGTAGTGACCTTATTTCATTTGAAAATTAGGATTTAAAAATTCATTTTCTCTCTTTTTATATCTTCATTTGTTGTTTGCTTTTCTAGGTACAGCAGAAGATCTTGTAGATACCTTCTTTGAAGTTGAAGTTGAAATGGAGAAGGAAGTTTGCCGGGATCTAGTGTGCACTTCTCCCAAAGACGAAGAAGGTTTTATTTTTAATATAACTATTCTGAAAACAGTCACAGATTAGAGACAAGTTAGGAGAAGAAATCTAAGGTGAAATCTTTCTTATACAGGGCAGGTTGCATAGGGAAAACACTATTCATTTTATTTTAACTGTTGCAAGTAGCTTCTGCAGTTTCCATTTATTTATTTATTTATTTATTTATTTATTTATTTATTTATTTATTTGGTCTTTTTTGAGACAGGGTTGGCAGGCATGTGGAGGTCAGAGGACAGCTTGAATTAGTCAGTTTTTTCCTTCTACCGTGCAAATTCTGGGGATCAAACTCAGGTCATCAGACTTGGTGCCAAGCACCTTTAGTTACCTCACTGAATCCATTTGTCAGGATTGGTTTGCTTATTTCACACAGCATCAGGGTCTCCCTGTAATCCCAGCTGTCCTGGAACTCACTATGTAGACCAGGCTGGCCTTGAACTCACAGAGATCCGCCCGCCTCTGCCTCCCTAGTGCTGCATGCACCACCACGCCCAGCCAGTTTCCATTTTTAAAGGTTATCTTTAAAGACTAAGGGCCTTCCAAATGTAATAGGGACAAACATTTTATGACTGAACATTTATATTTTAAGAACTATAGTAATTTCTTTTCTCCTTGAATTTAATTTTTATACCTCAAAAGTGTACTTGTTACGCTAAACTATTTTCTAATGTTATAAGTAAATAATTTCAATAAATTTTTTATATTTATGGGACGTTGCGTTTTTTGGTGGGAAGTTAAATAAGTTTAAGTCTTACAATTAGGTCTTTATTAGTCGGCACAGGTTATCTGCTGAGCAAGTGTCAGCACATGAACAACTGCAGGAAAACTGCTATTCTGGAAATTATTCTCTTCACTCTTGAAAACATGCTAAACTTTTTCTTGCTCTTGCTATTATGTTCTTTCCTGTTCGCATTTATTATTAAATTCAATTTTTAACTGCCAGTTCGTCAATACTATATGAAATAATAGTTGATTTTTAACAAGTATATACAATGATTTGAATATTACATATGTGTGAGCTTTCTTAGACCTGTAGATTAGAAGAGGATATGTGTGCTCTGTTTTTATCTGTTGGACTGATTTCTTCTTGAAAGAATTATTACAGTTTAAGTGTTAATTTCTAAGTATGCAAAAATAATGTATGATAGCAGTGCAAAGTACATTGTACATTTAAAACTGCCTTGGAGAAAAGCAATTTTATTACTAAATTTTTTCATATGATAAGACCAGTTAAAACTAATGAGAATTTTAAAAGCATATTAGTTTGATTGATGAATACTATTTGAAGAACAGTGAAGGAATTTTAGAGAATACTTATGTGTAATAATTACTAAAGTCATAAGCTGGTATAACCAGAGGACTTTTAATGTGCCTTATAGTAAGAATAGGAAGGAGACTTTAGATCTTTCTAATATTATGGCTGTGTTTTCTATTTTTAGGATTCCTAAGGGATTTGTGTGAGGTTTTATTATACTTATTACTACCTCCTGGAGATTTCCAGAACAAGATCATGCGATATTTTGTCAGGGTAAGCTTAAATTCTTACCAAGTCATGACTTAAACTAGAGCAGTAGTTCTCAAAATCTTTGGCCTGAAGACCCAGCTAAGCTCATAAAAATTGTTGAAAACCCCAACAAGCCTTTTTAAATGTAGTATTTTATTTATAGTATTTATGTATTATAAATTTTAAAAGAAAATGTTAAAGCGTAAGTACGTACAAGTGTGCATTCCGTTAGCTCATTGATCAAGATATGCCATCTTGTGCATTTTAAAAGTCTCATCATAGGCTTGCTAGAGAATGAGAATGAAATGGTAAATAAAATCTTAGTATCATTATAAAATGCTTTTGACTCCATCCATTCATTGAGAAAGGACTTGGGTACCTTTTCCAAATCCCCCAGAGGTCACTGGCATATACTTTGAGAACTGCCTGGCTGAGAGTTTTGTGCTTCAATTATTATTTTAAAAAAAAAATTTTTTTTTTTAGAAATTTTACGTGTATGAGTGATTGCTTCATGTATGTAAGTGCACCCATGTTGTGCAGTGCCTGTGGAGGTCAGAAGAGGGCATTGGATTCCCCTGGGACTGGAGTTACAGATGGTTGTTAGCTGCCATGTGGGTACTGGGAATCTATCCTGGGTACTGGGAATTGATCCTGGGTCCTCTGCAAGAGCAGTCAATGCTCTTAACTGCTGAGCCATTTCTCCAGCCCCAGGTTTTCATTTTTAACAAAATAGACTTAAAAAAATTTTTTCTTCACCTAGTAGGGTGAAGAAAATTTAAAAAAAAAAAAATGTGTAGCCCACGCTGGCCTTGAACTCATGATCCTCCTGCCTTTTCAGCATATCCTACCAGCTTGCACCACCACAAGTGGCAAAAGAGTAGATCTTCTTGAAGAGAGAGACTCTAGATAGGCTGACTAAACCCCAGTGGATGACCTTGTACTGAGGGACATCTCGGGACACTAACTTTACATAATAGGCCTTAATACAAATGACAGAATGTATGGACTCCCAGTGGGGGGACTATGGGAGGGTGTCAAAGGGGAAATGGGGAGGGAGTATAAAGATTATTTTATTTATGAAATACACAAAAATTCAGTAAAAATTATAAAAAAGACATACAAGTAAAGGGAAAATTTTTCTCAATACTCCAACTTTACTTGAATTGGGCTAGATTAAAGTAATATTTCTAGACTGAAACTTTAGTATTTTATTATTTTTATTTTATGCGTATGAGTGTATTGCCTGCATGTATGTTAGGGCACCCATGTCGTGCAATGCCACAGAAGTCAGAAAAGGGCTTCGGATTCCCCTGGAACTGGAGTTAAGGACAGTTCTTAGCTGCCATGTGGGTGCTGGGAATCGAACCCGGGTCCTCTGCTAGAGCAGTCAGTGCTCTTAACTTCTGAGCCATCTCTCATGCCCCTAGACTGAAACTTTTAAAATAAAAAATTACTTTTCTTAATTGGACCATGACTAAGTTCGATGAGAACTGTAGTCCTGAATTGTATCCTTTTAGTATTAATTTTTGTGTAAAACTGTGTGAATGCTAATTTTGACTTTGGTTGCTGGTTGTGAGGTTGAGATGCAGGTTAACTAAAGAGTTTATCCTGGTAAAATGGGTTAAGTGAAAGTACATTTGCCTACAGTGTAAGCTTATAATCTCCTTAATCTTCCTTCCTACAAAGTACATACCAATTCCCCAGGCTTGCTTTGTGCCTGTGTGCTGTTTTCCAGTCTGTACAACACAATTTCACAATATCTGCATAACTTGAATTCAGTGTACTTCTCAGATGTATTAACAGTTCTAGGGTATGAGTGGTCTGCTTTGATAAGAAGAATGTAATAGATTAACTATATATGGTAAAAGCCAATTATTTAGGTGTAATCATTATCAAAAAGTAGTTAATACTAAGTATGTCTGCTACTAGATTCAGATCTACATTACCTCTGAATTAGTTCTTCAGTCCTGGGCCCTCTTCTTGCTTACCCATAGAGGCTTTAACACCATTCAAATGCTAATAAACTTTAAATTTATATCTCTAGTCTAGACATATCTTCTGAACCCCATACTACTCTGATGAATGGCTGATATGAAATTGACACTTTACTCATACACCTTTTAAACTTTTACTTGTCAAAAGTGGAAGCCTTACTGATGACTCCATATCATGCCCGCCTTTTAGTCTTTTCTTCATTCCAGTAAATAGTATGACCATGGAGCATGTTTTTGAAATCTTAAGAGTCCCACCAGAGGATCTGTCTGATGTGACTTTTATCTCTCTAGTCTTTATGACATACAGTGTCAAAGCCATATCTGTATAGTAAAGTGCAAAAAATGAATCGCATCAGTGTAGACATAGAGTCAGTTCTAAAAACAAATCAAAATTTATAATCAAGGAGTAAGGCAGAGATCAGTGGGTGGAAAGTTGCTAAGAGGCATGTGAAAGATAAAGGACAGTGGTAATTAGACATCTTTAATAGGATTCTAGCTAACAATAGGCCAGGATGATCAGATACCAAGAGTGAAAAGCATGAGGAATTCGATGAGATATTCAGAGTAGGAGCATTCTAGCTAAACACTTTTGGCAAGACTCTTGCTAAAATGTAATGATGAACAAAGGTTGAGGTCTAATTGGATTCAGAGTAGCCAATTAAAGTTTAGTTGAGAATAGAAGCTTTGTCAGCAGTCACTTTATTCTACTGGCTCTACCGATTTTCTTCCCCAGTAGTGCCATTTTATTTCCCATTCAACAATGAGAACTGTCTCATGTTGTTTTAAAATTCTTGACTTAGAATGTTTTTTGTTTCTCTTGGCTAGATAGTACTCATTTTTTATATCTCACTATCCCTTGGAGACTTTATTCTAACCACTAAATTTTAAGCTCTATTTATTTCCCTATACTGAAGGCAATGGCTAGGTCTTTTTCTTCTTAATATGTACCATATTTTAAAGTCATAATTTATTTGTTGTGTGTACTGACTTGATGCGTTCCTCTGTAATGAACTAACAACTGAGACCATACCTACTATCTATTTGTCTATGTCATTGTGTGCTAGTGGCTAGCACGGTACCTAGCACATAGCAGATACTAAACCAGAGACTCAACTGTGATAAAAGAGGAAATGCATTTGCCTTTTTGCTGGCTGTGGCACACATGGTATTGCAGAACTGTGAATGAAGACCTGCTTTGTGAAGAGAGGCTATTGTTTAAAACAAGTAGGAATGTAATAAGCAAATACATCTTGCTGTGGATTGCTTTTAGGCCAGTATTTAATTTTTTTTTTGATCAAATATAGTTGAGTAAGGAGAATTGTAGACCACATCATTCAACAAGTCAATTTATCAGTTTGCTTTGTCAGTAATTAAACTCAGATCTTTCCAAAAGTAATTTCTGCTTAGATTAAATAACAAAAGAATGAGTTCTTTCCTTCATGTGGAATTTTTGCTTAGATTGTATTCAACTAAGATAATTGCTATTTATAAATTACTTTCTTCCATTTACTATGTTTTAGTCACTGAAGGATTCATGACCTCAGTAATTTTCTGTCAGGCTGCCATGTTGGTAGCTGGTTCTGTCTTTTAGAGATTGAGAATCTTATGCCAGCAAAAGGGCTCAGATTGTAGAATCAATTTTATGTTTTTGTGTCTTTATTTCTGTTCATTTAACAATTGCCCCTCTTGGGCTTATGAAGATTGGAGGAGTGGTAAATAAATTTGAAGATACAGCCAAGTAAACAGATCAGTTGACCAATTCTACTCATACAAAGAGAATTGCTAGATAGTACTAGTGTATTAGAGAAACATAAGATATGGAATGTCAAAAAATACTAAGTGACAAATAATGTAAATACAGGGCATGAATGAACGATCAGAGTGTATTTAGTAGGATAATTGATTCTTTAGTAAGATCTTAAAAGGAACAGAGTTTTGAGAGAGTAGAGCATAAACAACTTCAAAGAATAGGGAGGTATCTAGAGTATGGCAAGTAGATAATAATAGTTATTTCTCACATTTTTTAATTTGGAAAGTATTCAAATGTAGGAAATAAGACATGAGACATTTGTGTACCAGCTACCCAGATTTAATCAGTATTGATATTTTGCTGTAGTTGCTCCATTTCATCACTTGAAATAAAAACAATTCTAAAATTGTCTTTCCTTTAAATGAATCTATTTACACCTTTATTCTAATGCTTTTAAAAACTATATTTATTATTTAATTTTGTGTGTATAAATGTTTTGCCTGTATGTTTGTAAGTACAGCCATGTTGTACAGTGCCCATGGAGGTCAGAAGAAGGCATTGGAGCCGCTGGAACTGGAGATGGATGGTTGTTAGCCACCATACAGGTGCTGGGAACCAAAACCAGGTCCTCTGCAATAGCAGCCAGTGCTCTTAACCGCTGAGTCATCTCTCCTGTCCCTCTAATGCTTTGTTTTTTAAAAATTCACACAAATACAGATTGTGCCAAAGGTGTCTTTTTGTTCTTTTTTGCTCACCTCTAGTTGTAGAGATTTATTTAATATTGTTTTGGCTCATCTTTTATTTTAACTGAGGCAGAGTAGCTCATCTTTTTATGAGACTGCATTCATTACATGTTTTCTGTTATCATAATTCTCTTATATAATCTTCTAGGAAGTTTATGTTATTGATTTAGAAGAATGCTAAATGAAATTATCTGTTTTAAAATTTATTTTTAGGAAATCCTTGCACGAGGAATTCTTCTTCCATTAATAAATCAACTCAGTGATCCTGATTATATTAATCAATATGTCATATGGATGGTAAGTATTTTTAAAAATTGACTTGTATTTGAAACAGTTTTTTAACTGTGAAAATACAATTTGGAGATCAGAGTGATTAAGAAACAGCTGTTTTCTAAACAACCTCTGCATTTCTAGTATCTTCCTTTCTGTGATGGTGCTGCTATTTATTTTAAAATGGTGTCTTTCACTGCCTGTGTAGGTGGATCATAAGTATTCCTTATGTGAAATGCTCGAGTTCCACAAATGCTCTGGATTTGGAAATCATTCCATTCACCTCGTGAGATATATAGAGGAAAAGGTTAAAGCTAAACATTTTATTGTAGCATGAAGGTAATTTTATTCAGTATTTTTAGTGTAACTGTTTTGACCTGTCTTGTGAGAACAGATAAGGAGTATTCCACTGTGGCATCATGCCAGTCTTCCAAAAGTTCTGGATTTTGGATTTTTAAATTCTAGATCCTTAACCTATATTTGGTTTTAAATGAAGCTCTAGGTCAGAGCTACTTAAATAGCTTGTACCTTACAATGTATACTGTATAATGTGGAAAATATGGACACTAGAATATGAATAATAGTCAGATCTGTGTTCTAGTTCTGTTTCCTTAAGTTACTTCATGTGTCTACACGGAGTAAATTGAGTTTTCACTATTGGACATGTTAGAGTTAGTACTTAGTTTACTAGGTCAGTGCTTTTCCACAATAGACTCACTCTCAAATAAGAGTTATAAACTTGTTACCTTCTGGGAGTATTTTGTAATATACTTCTAAATCTTTGATTTGTTTTCTTAAATACGGAATTTCCTTTCCATGCTTATCTTTTTTTTTTCAAATATAGTCTATTGTTCCTAAGAAAGAAATCTGTTGACTATTCTTTGATTTTTTTTTTCCTTAGGCATTATCAAACTGACCATTGATTTATTGCTATTTTAACTTTTATCTTTCCCACCAGACTGTGGGTAACATGTGGGCAGAAATCTTTCTTACTGATTTTGTATTCGTAGAGTCCTGTCTGGAGGTGGTGGAACCTGATTCTTCTTTTTAGTTCTCAACTGTTTTGGTACTAGGCTCTATGTCTAGGATCGTATTGTGTGCATGTGGGAATGGGGAATGACTTTACTTCTTCCTTCATATTTGTATCCCTGTTATTTCTCTTATTGCCTTATTATTCCAGCTCAGAATTCAGGTATTCCATTAAAAAATATTAGAGTGAGTAAGACATGTGTCCTGGTTCCTGATTTTTTTCCACTTTTTTTTTCCTTGTTTCACTTTTTTTCTATTTAGTATAATTTTGGCCATAGGTTGGTCATATATACCTTTATTATGTTGAGGTAAGTTCCTTGTGTACCTTGTTTCCTCAGTACTTTGTCATGAAGGGACACTGAACTTCGTCTAAAGCTTTTTCTTCATATAATATAATTCTATTTATGTGTTTTATATTTTTTGATTTAAGTGTATGGACCCATCCTCTGTATCCATTACTTTTGTGTTGCTGTGATAAAACACCATGATCAAGAGCAACTTGTAGAAAAAAGTTCATTTTTGCTTATTGTTCTAGAGAAATAGAGTCCATAATGGCAGGGACATCATGGCAGCAAGTGGCTGGAGCAGAAACCTGAAAGAGAGACCTGGAAGTGGACCAAGCCTGTAAACTCTTAAACTGGAGGAGTAAAATGCTATACTCCTCCATTAAGGTTCCACCACTTAAAAGTTCCACAACCTCCCCAAACAACACTACCCGTTGGGGAACAAGTGTTCAAATGCATGAGCCTATGGAGGACAGTTTTCATTCAAACCAGCACATTCAGCCCCTTAGCCCTCATAGGTGCATTGCCGTATCATAATACATTCCAACTTAAACTGTCCCCATAGTCTTTCAACAGTTTCAGAACTGTTCAAAAGTCAAATCTTTCTAAGACTCAGGCAGTCTCTGAACTGTGACTCATTGTAATATAAAAGTAAATAATATACAATGACCCAGAATATACATTCCTATTCCTAAAGGGAGGAGTGGGAACATAATGAGTTAATACTGAACTCAGAATAAGAACAGAACCCAATAGAACAAACACCAGACCCTGTAGCTCCACATGACTATTAGTTTTATTTTAATATTTGCTTTATTATTTTATGTGTATGAGTGTATTGCTTGCATGTGTATACGTGCACCCGTGTCATGCAATGCCTGCAGAAGTCAAAAGACAGTATCAGATTCCCCTGGAACTGTTTGGACAGTTAAGGACATTTGTTTGCTACCATGTGAGTGCTGGGAATCGAACCCAGATCCTCTGCAGGAGCAGTTAGTGCTCTTAACCACTGAGCCATCTCTTCAGTCTGGTGGCTTTAGTTTTAAAGGACTCAAATGGCTCTGCCCCTCCAACTTTGCTGCCTGCAACATACATTAGTCTCCTGCCCTAGTTTCTCGCTTGTATAAATAGCAGAGGACTTGGCAGGTGCCTCAGTCCTCTGGCATCTCCAGCTCTTAGGCTCTCCTCTGCAGCCCGTGCTCCATGTTCACAGCTTGATGTCATGGCCTCCCAGAGCCTCTTGACCTCTCAGGGCCTTTTAACAGCACTTGTAGCACAGACACATAGTGATTCACCTAAGCATCTCTCTGTACCTCAAAAGAAGAATCCATGACCCCCTTATTGTTGCATCTTTCATTTCTCCAGAGCTAGAATTATGGGGATGATACTGCCAAGTTTGGCCACCAGCTTGGGATATCTTCCTCTCCTCCAACCACATTAACAGCAGCTTTTGTGTGTTGAAGCAGCTGCTTTCTAGGAGCAAGTGATTTTTCTGTAATATCATCTAAATACAATGTGTCATGGAGAGGCTCTCTTGGGGTTTTCAGTGTCTTTTTCCCTATTTTTCCCTAAATTTCAGCAATTCATGTCTATAAATTCATAGAGAAAATTATTCCCTGTCTTTGTTTTGTATCTCATCTTCTCTACTGTGAAGCTTTAGGTTTGGTTTCCTGATTGTTTCTCAGAATTCTTCAGATTTATCTTTATTCTTCATTACTTTTGTTTTGTGCCTTGTTACCTATAATTTCTTTTCAATCTTCTCTTTAATCTTTGTTATTCTTTTTTTTTTCAGCTTGATTTAGTCTGGTTTTTTTTTTTTTTTCATGCTTTCTGGTGTGCTTTTTTTTTTTAAATTGGGTCATTTATCATTTATTTCCACCAATTGTACTTTCTTTCCCCCGCATGGTCTCAGTTTCCTTGCTGAATTTGTCCTGAATTGACTTTGTTATTTCATTTTACTCAAGATTTTTATCTTTAAAATTAGACTTTTTAATTCTTGGTCAAGTATTTCAACCATTTTAGTTTCTGCTGTTTTAGTTATTGAAGACAAAATACTACAAAGTTATTTACAGTAATAGAAACAATGCTACTGGCATAATTGAAATAGTACAGTCTTGGAATAAAACCTCATGCATATGATCAAATAATATGTGTGTGAAGCTTATACAGTTGAAAAGAATAATCTCTTCAAAAGATGGTATTGGGAAAACACCATTCACATGCAAAAAAATGAATTTGTAGAAGCTAGAGAGATGGCTTAGCAGTTAAGAGCACCGAGTACTCTTGCAGAGGAGTCCATTGGATTCCCAGCACCCACATGGTGGACAACAACCTGACCTCCATGGGCACTGCACAACATGGGTGCACTTACATACATTCAGACAATACCCTCATACACATAAAATGAAAATAATAAATTTTTTTAAATGAGTTTGTAACCTTTATGAAATATATAAAAGTTAACTAAATTCAGATTGAAGACCTAAATGTAATACCTCAAACCATAAAACATCAAGAAGAAGATTAAGCTGTCACAGTGCAATGGGCTGGGGTTGTCTGGTCTCTTGTCTTCAGCGCCCTTTCTCCCCACAACCTGGGTGCCCCATGCCTATATATGCAGAGACCTTAGTCACATTGGAGATACTGTGCAAAAGATGGGGTGAAACTTTCTACAAGTGGAGAACTTGGAAATGGAAACATTAAGTTGTCACAGACAAATGATGCTGATACAGAGAAAGAAGTTGTTACCATTGAGATGAATGAGCCAGTTCAGCTAACTTTTGCACTGAGGTATCGAACATTTTTTGCAGAAGCCAGTCCACTGTCTCAGTATGTCTATAGATGTGCCCCTTGTTATAGAGTATAAAATTATGGACACGGGACATTTAAAGTACTTTTTGGCTCCCAAAGTTGAAGATGAAAATAGTCTTAGGCCTTGATAGAATCCTAAAGAACTCAGCCTTTGAGAACTGCTTTTCAGATGCCAGCACATTCTGAGGTCATTTTCTGTCACCAGATTTGTACCTGAGTACATAATGTAGATGACTTATGTAAATAACCTATTTTTTGTCTCCATTCTCTACAATTTGTTTAAAGAATAAATTCCAAAAGTCAAAACTAGTCTTGTTAACATATATTTAAGCCTTAGAAATACTTGTGCTGATTTTTTTTAATAACAAAAGGGACTTGATGCTATGTGCAGTTTTCAGAAATGTTTTTCAATTTAAATGAACAACTGAATTTCAAAAAAATAAAGCATCAAGAGGAGGAAAGCAGGGGGAAAGTATTTTTGGATTTGACTGTAATTTCTTGGATTGATAGTGAAGCTGAGGCAGCAGAAGTGAAAACAGACAGAAATTTCAGCAAAAATGGCCAGCAAAGAAAACAATCACCAGAGTGAAAAAGTGATCTATGAAAGTGATACAAGTACTTGAAAGACCTTTCTCTGATTAAGTATTTCTATCCAACAAATACAAAGAACTCCCACAATTGAGCAACAAAAAATAAAACAAATCTGTACAAAGAATTTGAATAGATAATTCTCTAAAGGATTATAAAAACAGCCATCAAGTACATGACAATATATTCAACAACCCTAGTCATTATGGAAATGCAGATAAAAACCATGGTGAGCTACTGTATTATAACCATTTGGTTGCCACTACCCCCTCCCCCAAAATAGGATATGGAGTGACTAAAACCCTTATGCATGGA